CAGCCTCCGTCCCACGACTGCATGCAGCCTATCTACCACCCCTTGAAATATTAGACTGTCCCGTGACCTGTGGATTTCCCCGGTTTGGGGTAAGATATTAATAAAGTACCCAACTTTTATATACAATCAAGCACAAAATAAACCAACAATATCCCAGTGTGGATCTTAGGGCCTCATTGGGGGGGGGGGGGGGGGGGCAGAGGCAGAGGGAACACACCCACTGGACCTTAACGAGAAAGCATATCGTAAAATTGAGGTGTTCTTTTGAAGTCACAGTGTTTCTGCCTGTGAGGCAAGGAACCAACAGTCTACATACACAAAAGCCAGGTCTGTAAAACGGATGTGCATAAAAACTCAGGTTCTGGAACAAGATGTCCAGACCGGCTGTAAACTCTGGTGGAAAGTTGTGGTTGTTCGTCCACTTCTGAATTTTGATCTTGTTCCAGAATTGAATCTTGCATGTAAATGCTTTTTTTTCTCCTTTTAATAGATGTGAGTTATTTGTGTGCAGATTGCTGGTCCCTTACCTATCAGGAAGATGGGCTCTGAAACACGCCTAATTAGTTGCCTTTTACGACATGCCTGTGAGGGAGGCAGTGGGTTAGGGTTAGTCTGTGTAATGTTCCATCAAAACTACCGTTTAGTTTACAACCGTTATTATATGTGTGTGTGTATATATATATATACACACACACACACATGCACACATGATAACAAAGTGGCTACATGCTCGCCTGCCAGCTTAACTCTTTCGGTCCCAGAGGGTTTATCACAACAGAGGCCTAACGCGTAGCAGAGAGAGACGTAAAATCAGCACATCTTTCGTTTACTGGGCTTCTAGGTAGTAACTTAAAAATATATGATGCGTTCTCTGGGACTGAAAGAGTAAAAGGTCTTGGGTTCAAATATGCGTTGAGCCTGATTTGTTTCCATGGCTTCCATGTCGACTACGCCTAAACTGGCATCACAAACTTGATTCACCACTGGCAAGAAAATGGCCCCTTTACTTCCCTCACCATCGTCAGCTGAGAAAAAACAAAATTCTCAACTCCTTCAGTTGCAGAAGAGTTCAGGGAAGAAAAGAACCACAATGAAAAACTGCTGCTTTTAAAAATGTCCAATAGGACGTGGTCACCGAGGAATTTTTCTTGTGCTCCTTTTTTTTTTTTAAAGCATGCTTTGACTACATTTTTTTAAAGGTCAAAGAACACATTTGGTGATCTTTGTCTTTGTGTCACCGGTTGTAAACTCTGGCAGAAAGTTCTGGATGTTCGCCCACTTCCGCACTTTAGTCTTGTTCGAGAACCGGAGTGTATACAGAACCAACCCTGATTTACAGAAGTGAATCATGGACAGTGAGCTAATTAGCCAAATATTATGCTGAAAGCTGCAGAAGATGTGGTTTTATAGACAAATTAAGAGAACATTGTAGAAATTTTTTTTTTAAAAGTACAAGTAAGCAAAAAGTAAAGATCCCTTTTCACGCCTTTAGGCGCATTGGGTATATGGGAAGTGCATCCCATATTTTTTCAGACCATCGGCACTAGGTGGGTAATGCAGTCAGCATTATGCCGGCCGTCTCTACTTCCTCAGGACAGCCATCTTGGTACCCACTTTACCCTGGGTTGACCTGCGATGCCCCATACCATGATAAAAATCCACGCAGCCAGCAGTGGGTTTCAACTGTGGTATGTTGGAATTACAAGTCGGACTCGCAACGCCTAAGCCACGGACGTTTTTTTAAGTATGCTTTGACTAAATTTTTTTCAACAGTCAAAGAATGCATTTCTGATAGCTGGTTGCAAAAGCAAGAATTTGTTATGTTAACATTATGTTAATGAGTTAACAGCTATACATAACCAATCCTGATATATGGAAGTGAACCTTGTACAGTTAGCTAAGCGAAAAAAATTAGGCTGAAGCTGCAGAGATGTGGTTTTATGGAGAAATTACAAGACATAAAAATAGACACTGACCACACCACTCATGAAACTCCGATGAAAATTTGGAGGTCATCTACCACCATATACCCCAGTGCTTCCTATCTTTTTTGTTGGCCATGCTCCATATAAGCCTTTCTACAATTCTCATGCCCTTTATATAACATCTTTTGGCTCCCAGGCTGACCCAGCCTTGAGTGGGTACTGGGTGCAGTCCTGGGAAGTAAAGGCGGCCGGCATGATGCTGACCCCAGCACCCAACCTGTGCCATTGGGTCTATAAAATATAGGTCTAGCTCTATATTTCAAATACGCCTGAAAGGCGTGGAAAAGGGTCCTGTACTTTTACTTATATGGTTAACTTAAACTCTGAACAAGTCCATTTTCAAACTGCCCCTCTTAACAATCAAATGGCTCCCCTGAGTGGCGTCGGCCTCATGTTGGGAAACACTGAGATACCCAGTCAACAATGATACGAAAAGGGTTCTTCACTGTCCCTTTTATCAATTACATCACTCAAAATGTAGACACAACACTGGATCTAGTTATTGATAATATGTGACACATTTACAAGACATACACCATATTTTCTCTGTATAAGATAAAACCCATTTTTTTTAGCTCAAAATTAGGAAATAAATATTTTAACCACATTCCATGTAAAAGATTACCCCCAACTGTAATTTTAAAATCTGGGAAAACACATCGTCTTATACACAGAAAAAATACAGTAAAACAGCATTATATTGAATGCTGAACTAAGAATCGACAACACAGCACTCTGGACACTCCCGTAAAAACAGCATTCAATAACAGTTCTATTTACAACTATGTTCTATAGCTTCATTTTAAATTAAGTTTCCTTTGGAGAAAAAAACCACACAGTAAAATGGTATTAGCACAAAGTAAACTAGTTTGGATATGGCAGATGAAAATCTTTATACAGCTCAAAATAATCGACAATAGATTAAAATCTTTATACAACTCAGAATAATCGACAGTAGATTAAAATCTTTATACAACACAGAATAATTGACAATTAATGAAATGACATGTATACAAGTAAAGGAATTAAGACAACAGGGACACACACAATACAAAGGTATAAATAAATCATTATGTGCCATTAATTCTTTCAGACCCAGGCTAACACTGCATGCATTTATTGATTGACTCTATATTGTTGACACTAAGCCAAAGTCCGAAATCCAATGATACAACTGTGGAAGACTTTTCTTAACATGGGTGGGTCTTGCTAGTCACACTCACCATTGCCATGGGATAGGAGCCCCATGTCTCCTCAATAATGCAATATAACACTATCATCTCGAGAGACGGCAAGGTGCCAACCAATCAAGCCAAAGTCACCTCAGTGCAATTTAGTGATTTGTCACCCAAGAGAATTTTCAGGACTCTTCTTTCTCACTTAAAAACAGAATTTTCAGAGCTCTCATTTCTCATTTAAAAACAGAATTTTCAGAGCTCTAATTTCTCATTTAAAAACAGAATTTTCAGAGCTCTCATTTCTCACTTAAATGGACAATTTTCACGGCTCTCATTTCTCACTCAAAAAGAAAATTTTCAGGGTTCTCATTTCTCACTTTTTCAGGGCTCTCATTTGTCACTTACAAGGAAAATGATAACACGACATAAAACTAATAACAAAATACAATAAACATACTGCTGAAAAAGCTTTTGAGTTAACACAATACAAGAAGCCCTGAACCTAACAGACTGGTTAAACCAGCATGAAATCAATTCGGCAGAACATATCAAGCTTTGGTATTCAAATAATAGTAACTTGGTAACAACTGGGAAGATCTGTATGGGGGTTGAAAAAAAATGCCACAGAAGAGATATGTATGGTGCGTCTTTATGTTAATTTGGTCAAAATGCTTCTTAATGCTTCAGCGAAGACATGAAAATCAGCACCAATGAATGTAATTACATGTGATCATAGACTCCTGCTTCTCTGATTCATGGAGTTGAGTTTAGGAGAGTTAGCAACCAACATCACTTGAAAAATTCCTATATATACCCCGTCCCCATCTTTGCAGCCAGCATCGCGTCCCAATACCGACGGCGCCAGTTACAGTCTGACTGTATGTTCACCTTGCTTTTTCCTCTGAGTGGTGGGTGTGAGCCAGATCCCCTGGCCACTCGCCCGCTGCACTCTTCTCTCCAGACTGTGACCATCTGTTTATTCAGGCATTATTAATTTTCTTCTGACCAAAGGGCACTGACTACATTTATTCACAGATATAGGGTTTTCATACTTTCTGCTCTCGTACAGATGATGTCTTGTGGCCTAAGTTCCCAACTTCCTTTGCACAATTGTGTTTTATATGTTTTCAAACATAAGAAAGGAACTGAAGATGTGGCAAGGGATGAATGCAGCTGAAAGCCTGTGTCGTGATCAGTAAGTAAAAACTCCTGCTGCACCTCCACATGGTTGGTTTACTGAAGCCTGCTTGAAAGAGTTGGTACCTCAGCATACTAGACCCTAGGCACAGTGCTGTGTTAAAGTGTGCAGCGAGATCCACTTCATCAAAATCACATTCCAAGTATAGTCCTCGTTCAAAACGAATGAGTAAGAAAACCTACCAAGGTCAATTGATTAGATCCATCTGCACAATTAAGGTTGGCAGCAGTGTCCAAAAGCCATGAGAATTTCTTCAAAAGTCAATATCTGTGCAATGACCTCATGTGAAACAAGCTAGCTATTGGCACCTTTCTGTCTTTTCCGACAACAGTGTTTCACTGTATCACAAGGAGGCCTGGGAAGCCCAGCTCACTGCGATACCAATTAGGTCCAGGGATGAAGTTCCTCCTCTCCATAGCACAAGCCCTGTGCAGTATTGGTGAGACCATGCGCTGCCCATGCAGCAGGATTCACCCTCTCTGTCTCAGCTTACTTTGCTAACTTCAAAAGAAATGTAACACTAATATTTGGAACAAAGCAACAACGCATGCTGCAGAAGCTGCCAGTTCAGAAGAGCTGTGTTCTGTCTGCCAAAAGCAAGCTAGTGTGCCCTGTACAGCACCAGGCGCAATCTTCAGCTCAATATCTATAAAGCAAGCTACGGTACGGATCTTGCATCTGACTTTCGGGTGCAGCTGATCTACTGATCAGATCTCGTTCCTGTGGAACAGGAGTGGGAGCTACTGGATGCCCATGACCAAGTTTGGAGGTGCTGTGATACTGTCGCTCATCGACAAAAGGGTATGGTGTGTTCTGGGGATAAAAACTTCTATGAGCCGCTGCTGCATAGTTCCTTTCGAACATCGCATGCTGGGCTGATGTGGAGTGAGTTAGGAATGCACTGTTGACGTTCTCGGTCATATGTGGGGTATGATATGACATTGCATTTCCTGCATATAGACTGAAACCTGAGTTAACACCAGGAAATCCAGGAAACATGTCTGATGAGCCACCGGTTGGAGGCAAACCCCGATAGTCTGAGATGGCTGTAGATGCTGCTGTCTGTCTGTATCTTTCATCAAATGGTTTGGCGGTTCCTGCATGGGCAGTCCTGCTGTACTCTAAAGAAGCAGTGGAGCTTCCATATGGGGTCATAGCATTAGGAAAATAGTTGCTGAGGTCAAATCGGTCAAACTGATAGGAATCTTGACTCTGGGATGATGATATCGATGAAAACATGCTTCTCTCTGAAGAGGGACGAACAGAAGGATCAAACATGAAGTCTCTGCCTGTAAGATAATTGTCCTTTGAGGGGAAAAAAGAACCTGTGGTCGCCATGTTGGACTGGTGTGCGAGATATGGGGACTGCCAATGGGCTGGACTCACTTCCTGGCTAGTCCATGCATTTGCAAAAGGATGCCTGGGCATGTTCTGCGCCATGGTAGGAGAAGAAAACATGTCGGAGCTGGGAACCGTGCCTGGTCGCCGAAGAAATGAAGATGAGGAGCTGGACCGTAGTGGAGCAGCGTCTGGTATACGAGAAAGACCACTTCTTTCACTTGGTTGAGGTGGGAGGAAAGGTGTAGCCATTGCCTGGCGCTGAAACATAGCTTCGGCTATAAAAGTGCTAGTGACAGGTGGTGTGGAGAAAAGATTCTCTGGCTGTCTGAGGTAGGAATTCTCTCTGCCTCCAGTTGCTGCTGCTAGGGAATTCAAAGAAGAAAACGCATCGAAGGCTGGAGAATGGCGCATTGCACTTGAAGGTAACGGTGTTTGATGATCTGACAGACGAGACAATGATGATGGTGTGTCTCTAGTGTAGAAAGATTCATGGTGTCTGTCCAACACAAGAGAGTCCATCCTGGCCCGAAGATCCCCATTTGTCAGCAGAGGCAGACTCTCCAAGCTAGTAATCACGCTGGTAGGTAGGCAACTAATTGGTGATTTGGCACTCATTTCCTTAGAGTCCATGTGTGACTTGCACACCATAGCCTCAAGATGTTGCAAGCCATTGGGAGAAGGTTCTAGGCCAATGGCTGCTCGGTTGTTAGCTGCACTAAGGTTTCTTAAGTACTGATCAAAGTATTCCTTATCTGCATCTGTCTGCGTCTGCTCCTGTAAGGAATGAGGCAGCTCATACTTGGCAGGGTCAGGGTTGCTGCCCATGTCTCTGATGACACTTTCTGGTGTTCTCACATGCTGATCCAAATGCGGCACAGATTCTGTGATGCTGCCATGGCACAGCATTTCAACAGATCCATGTGAGTGTATCATTTCTACAGATCCGTGTGAATGCACCTCTACTGACTTGTGTGATCTTACTGTCATAGAGTTATGAGAATCTGCTGAACCTGGAGGATGATGCATATCTACAGACCCATGTGAATTCATGATCTCCACAGTCTCGTGTGGGTGCATCTCAGCTGATTCTAAAGATTGCTGCATATCTACAGAACCCTGTGAATGTACATCTACAGGTGGGACCGACTGTAAAACCGACATGGGAGCATCTTCAGAATGCACTGACTGCTGCTGCATGAGGTTAGTAGGTGGTGGGATGGAGAAGGGGGTATTTGGCCCAGGCACAGAAAAGGGTGTGCTGGGACCCGGAACTGAAAATGGAGTAAGCTCAGGCTCCAGCTCCAGTTCATCGTCAGAGCTCTCCATCGGTGGTGGTGCCGGAGCCCGTGGAGGAGTCAGAGGGATGTCATTGCTGACTTCATCATCTGAGAATTCTTCAGCAGTTTGGCCCATGTCTTTATCCACAGTTTCACTGTCACTCTCCTCCGAAGCAGATGAGTCCGATTCTGCCACAGACGGTATATGAGCATCGATATATTCTGGTTGTTTCTGAGCAGGAGAGCTAGCAGGAGCCGTATGATCTTCCTGATTCTCAGAATCAGAAAAGTCTCTGTAAGGGCTGGCTTTTCCTTGAATCATCACTTCCTCAGAAGATGCTGGTGAAGAGGATCTGACAGCCGGAGTCAAGTTCTCAACCGGGTGGGAATTTAATCCAACTTCATTTTCATCAGAGATGGCCCGAATAGCTTGAGTTTCTTCCGACTTGCTTACATTTTGATCATCGGCACTGGCAGTCATCTCAGCATTATCAGGAGCCTTTAGTTCTGCTTCATCTACTTCAGCGTTCATTAATGCAGTTTTCTTCCTTGCAGATTTCCTTGTATGAAGTCCTGAACTGGAAGCCGTCTGCTCTCTTAGCACCGGCTTACTTACTGTTGTTGTCTTAACGCTGTTAGCCTTAATCCTAGCACTAGGTTTTCTTGTCGGCGGGCTCAGTTTCTCCTTCTTTTTGCACCTCCGTATGTGATTTCTCTTCAGAGCAACTCGTTTCATTTTTCTAGCCACAGATCTGGCTCCGGGCAATGATCTCAGGGCAAATGGTGACTTTTTAGCTTCTCCTTTCTTTGATGAAAGCATTTTCTTTTTGAAAGATGAAGCGTGGGTTTTCTTCTCAGTCCTTACTCTCACTGATTTTTCCTGTATGGACTTTGCAACAGCGTCTCTGAATAACTTCTTTCTACCTGAATTCAGTTTTCTTGTAGTAGTTACAGGTTCACTTCTTCCTGCTGGAACTGGTGACTTTCTTCGTGTTAAATAGCTGAAGCAACTTTTCTTTCCATTTTCTGTTTTCTTTTCTTCATCATTATCACTTTTTTCATTATTTCGTTTTGTTGTACAAACTGCTGATGTTAATTTCTTCTCCATCTTTTCATGTTCCCTTTTTTCTGCTTTTTCCCTCTGCTCTTGCTCTCTTTTTTCAATTTTCTCTTTCAGTTCCTGTTGTTTCTTTTCAATTTTCTCTTTCTTTTTTAGTTCATTTTTTTCAATTTGCTCTTTCTTATCTATTTCTCTCTTTTCCAGTTTCTCTTTTCTCTCCAGTTCTTTCTTTTCCTCTTTCTCTTTCTTTTCTAGCTCTTTCTTCGCAATTTTCTCTTTCCTTTCCTGCTCCATCTTTTTCAGTTTCTCTTGTCTCTCAATTTCCCTTTGCTCCGCTTTCACCTTCTTTTCCTGGTTTTTCTTTTCAGCCCTTTTATTCTTCTCTTGCTCTTTCTTACCAGCCTTCTCTATTCTTTCTTGCTCCTTTTTCTCGGCTTTTTCTTCCTTTTCCTTCTCTTTCATTTCTAAAATCTCATTTTTACGCAACAATTCTTTTGGAGGCGGAGGAAGCGGGGTGAGGCCATTCATTGCAGTTTTGTCTCGCCTAAAACTCCCAGGAGTTTCATCCTCCGAGTCTTCATCAGATTTGAATTCATACAAATCCAAAGATCCCTGCTCTTCTTGAGTGACCACAACTGTTTGGATATTCTTCTTAACAGGAACAGGAAGGTCAGCCATTTCTTGTTTCATTTCTGCCGCACAACCTAATGAGGGATCTTTAATTGCTCTATCACAAACCCCTTCTTCACTCATTCTACCAACCCCACTTGCTGCTGTTTCAGAAACAAACATCTCAGCTGCATTTTCACTAGCTGACAGTACAGCTTGAACAACCTCCGCCCCAGCAACGTCAGAAGCAGCTTCGACTTTCTTCAGGTCATGCTCCACGCCAGGTCTCAGTTTGACCTCCATATGTCGCTGACTAATGGAGAAGTCAACAAGCTGGTGGACTCGCTTTTTGTGCCAGAAGAGTGAGTTTTTCTGCTTGCACTTGAAATCGCAGAGATGACACTGGAATGGTTTCTCATTGGTGTGGGCGCGGAAGTGAACCTTGAGGTTGTCTGAGTGCCGAAAGGACTTGCTACATCCCGGCCATGTGCAGTGGAAGTTTCTCTCACCTGTCGAGGAAAAATAAATGCACTGATAAATGTCACACCAACAAGAGATTTATACAGATTTTATTCTGCATTCCCCCTTAAAAGGGCAGTTGAAACATTTTGCTGTGGTTTACAGCTAAGCTGTGATATCTACACCTTTCAGCCCAAAATATATAATTTCAACAACTTCCTAAATTAGTAACTTTTACGACACGCTTGTAAGAGGACAGTGTGTCCAATTCGTTTTACCTTAAGAATAGAGAGATCTATACAGTGTGTCCAATTCCTTTGACCTTAAGAATAGAGAGATCTATACAGTGTGTCCAATTCCTTTGACCTTAAGAATAGAGAGATCTATACAGTGTGTCCAATTCTTGTTTTACCTTAAGAATAGAGAGATCTATACAGGATGTCCCACAGGTTTTCAGACAGAGGAAAAAATAAACATATTACCAGCATAACTCTAGCTATGCTTACATGTGTTCTTCATCAGTGGAAGACACACATCAATATGTGTTTTCAAAACAATGGTAGTCTTGTCTTGTCCACAATTGCCTCACAGCGTAGTGGGGAGTCGCAGTTTTCTATCCTGGGCCAGGTGTGTTGCATGTGTTGTTGTTAGTCCGTGTTGCCTCAGAATCTCTGATATATTGTCTATCCTCTTCTCGGTCTGCCTCTTGCTCTAGGGCAGTAGTGCTGTTCGTTGTATGCTCGTAGAGGCAGTTGGTCGGTTTGCATTCGCATCAAGTGGCCAAACCACTCACTCTATTTGTTGCTTCTTTATGTATTGCAGGCATGGTGTGGTTCCTACAATTGCTCTAATGTTCTCATTTCGAACTCTGTCTCTCCTTGTGACATTGGCAGCCTTACGAAAGCATCTCATTTCGCACGTCGTAATCTTTTTCTCCTGTGCTCTTGTTAGGGACCAGGTTTGGCATTGGTAGCAGAGGGTTGGTATAAACATGGTATAAAAATGGTAGTCATGTAGAGCATATTATATAAGAAATAAAAATGAGTTTCATATATGAGCTTCGGGTGACCAAAACACACAATGTTGAAAGAAACTATTTGCATTTCAGTTTGATTTATTCAGTTTTGTGCTTCATTTTATGTTGATGTAACTTTGTAGTAACGCACCTGACCACCTGACGAGATACCACGAAATATGCCTGGCAATAAATTGTGCAATGTATTGTTTGTGTCCGCATTATTTGAGTTTCATATATTGTTTTTTAATTTTTCCTACATATGTCGTCTGTGGCTCAGGCTAACTCACTTGTTAGATCCCAGCTGCTGATTGTGACAAAACAACGAAATATTTCAGTCCGGCAAGAGTTAATTGCATTTTTTTAGTTAAAAGAATTGCTCACTTAAAATAAACATAGTTGAGTATAGATGCGAGAAGAGAAGAAAATGTACGAAGGCGCACATAATGTATGACGTTTTTGTAGTGTTACTAGGATAAACCCTTAGAGCTAGATTCGTCACAACAACATTCAACGACTGGCCAGCCACACCATCGGCCTAACCCCAAGAAATCACAAATATATGATACGAATTCAGGTGAGATTTATAATGGTAGGGAGTAGCTGAGATCCCCTATAAGCCTTAGCTGTATCCTAAAATATGTTATCGAGATCCTACTATTCTATATTCTACAACTGTATAAATATTCCGTGACTTCATCAACCTTGATACTTGTCCGTTGGACAATTCACTAGTCCTTACATATTATGACGTTCTTAAAGATATCATTCACAGTTAGGACCATACCATAGCGAACCCTCCTTCCCTCTGTCATCTTTCCAGAAAATATTCATTTGGTTTCCTTGCGTAAAGATCTTACAATATAAACCATCATCCTGTGCCATGTGGTATCATCAGTTGGGTATACATTACATTGCTTATGTTTATTATATTATGCAACATATAATTTGAGTAAAAGTTGTCAGCTTTGTGGGCATATAGGGTTGGCCTATGTTTTATAGACCAAGTGGTACCTAGGTGTTGATGTGGTCAACATCACACCTGCTGCCTTTACTCCACATTACTATACCTGGTGTCCGTTCAAGGCGACGTCAACCTGGGTTTTGGGACTCGAACTAATAACTGTCCAATCCGCAGGCGAGTGTGTGTCCACTTAACTATGTCAAGTTTCTTATGATTGTGCAATAATTTAGATATGTATAAAACAATATATTATAACCAGGTGGAGAGATGTATTAGTGAGAAAGACAAAACATGAACCTTGCTCTTTCCTTTATTACTCTGAAAAACACCACAAACACCGCAACACCTCCACCTGCCCCAGATGTGTCGACATAACACTCAACACAGGGCTGAATGATGTATTCCGCAGGTTCCCGTATTCCCGTTTTCCTGTTACCTGTGGATCGTGAACCACCATTCCTGTTATCTGTGGATCGTGAACCACCATTCCTGTTACCCCGGGAATTGTGAACCCCACTGTAGAGAATGAACAACCGAAATTCACGGATGAATGTCGCAGTTAGGCGAGGACTATAACGGTCGCAGCCAGAACCTTGTACATTCCTCCCAGAGAAGCTGCAGTTGGACACATCCCGTATATCGCAAAGCTGAGTGTTACTGAATATTTGTGTAAATTTGTGGTGTAATGATGAACCCTTGATTGTTTCTTTTGTTTGTTAATTTAAAAAATTGTTAAAATTCCTAACAATATTTATCAATACAGTTGTTGTTTAGAAACTTCATTATCGATTTCATCCTATCAAATTTAACTTCTTAGGTAGACTAAAGATTGTTCACTGCAGTTGATTTGAGTTAAATTTATAAAGTATTGGTTTGTTTCTGAATTTCTTTAAGAAATTTCCGGGGATTCACCCTATTTATTTAACTGTCTGTATTTTCCTTCCTTTATTTTCCAGAACTCAGGGACCGTTATTTTTTTTTTTTTTTTTTAATCGATCACCGGCTGTGAATTCCAGTGGAAGGTCCCGGTTAATCGTCCGCTTGGACTTTTGGCTTTCACCTGCACCTGATTTTTGCGTGTACAACCATTTTTCATTTCCCTGCCTCATGGGCAGCTGTACTCCGACTTCGAAGGAAGGGACCGTTATAATTCCCCTAGACTTATTTAATTCGAGCCCTGTAAGTTATTTGGAAGGATATAGGGGATCTCCAGGCGACGGTAAATTCCGCCAAAGTAATTTATTACACTGATGATATGTCTTGCGTTGGTTTTGATGGTGGTACCAAGAACTGACTGTTCAGAGAGCAATGGCAAACTACCGAAGAAATTTTTGCCTAGAAAAACCACAACAGCCATAAAAATCACAGATTTGGTTTTGTAATGTTCCGTAAAGAATACGCAACTAAGTATATATGGAAACTAATTTTTGGTCTTGAGCTCAGAAGGTTCTTTTTCTTCGTTCAGCCGAAGATGTAATTGCGTTGTGTCCGTTTACAGCATGGCTGCGATATTTGCACCTTTCGGCCAACTAGTCTGCGGGCATTTGTTGACCGGGTTAGCCTTCCCAGTTAGGACATGGCAGTCTCATTGTTGTGTGGTCATCTTTATTTCCCAGGTCACAGGTGGTACCCCAATCAGGCTGGTCCAAAGAAGCCACATAATGCTGATCAGCCCTCAAGAGAAGGCAGGGGCAGAATATGAGCATTCCCCGCCATCCAAGGAGGCTTCCACAAATGCAGAGCTAATACATGGTGCTCTGGTACTGGGCTCACACAAGGAATCGTCATGTCCTGCTCATGACTGTTTAACCTCACTTCCATATATTGAACATCTCATACATCATGGGCTATCTCTTTTGTAGCCAACAGTATGCAGCCTGCAGATCTAGGATTTAATTTACCTTCACCACAAAATAAGTACTTTGCTTCTTTTGCATGTTAGACTTTTACTGCAGTGGATGAGGAAGTCCACTATAGTTTTATGTGGTTTACGAGCTCTGCATCTCTAGGGACTATCAGCTTCCTCATCCACTATAGTTTTTCGTGGTTTACAAGCTCTGCATCTCTAGGGACTATCAGCTCAGAGAATCCCAGAGTTTTATTCTTCTTATACCTTCAGATGTCAGTGTGGATATACTTGAAGAAGTCAGCAGTTAACTTGAGGTTGTTGACATCACACAGTTTATCCTCAAAAGTTGTGGGTGTTAGCCAGAATAATTTTCTCTGTTCTGCATATATTGGACATTCTTGCAGCAAGTGTTTAGCCATCATTTTACCCTTTCCACAGTTACAATCATCATTGTCTCCTATCTTTAGTTTATTGAACAAGTGGTGTTTCAGCCTATTATGTCCTGTGCGGAGTCTAAAGATCACTACTTGTTCTCTTCGGCCAAGTTGGTAGTATGCGTCATCCTTCTTGTAGCCTGGATGTTCAGAATCCCATTTGATTCTAAATGTGCTTCTTATAAACCTCTTGGCCTCATCATATGTTATGTCTATATCAGGCTGTGGTAGTCTTCCACCTTCCTTTGCCAATCTGTCAGCCTCTTTATTTCCAGGTATGTTGCAATGGGATGGAATCCATTGTATTATGAATCTTTTTGATTTCTGACTCAGTCCATGTAGTGCAGCTCTAAGGTCTGCTAGTTCTGTATCATTTTTGTTCTTCAGTGCTGAGACAACTGACTTTGCATCTGTGAAGATAGCTATGTATTCCTCTTTATTTTTTTCTGACAGAAGCATTTTTGCTGCAATTCTCAGGGCCTCTGCTCTAAAATTATTTGAGAACTTTCCGGTTGCTATCGACTGTGTTTTCTTTGATCCATTTTTTAGATTGAGGACGATTCCCCCACCTCCATTTTCTGTTGAATTTTTTGCTGATCTGACTGTATATGCATGAGTCCAGGTGTTACTTGGGTATTGTTCTTCTAAGTAGTTTAATGTAATTTTCCTTCTTTCTGTTTCATTCTGAGTGTTCTTTTTCTCAATACCAGGAATATTTTCTATCAATTCAGGCAGATGCCGCTGTCTCCAAGCAGGGATCCATCTGTGATGGGCATTGAGGTGTGTCTCTTGGATGCATGCCACTTCAATTTTGTCTTCATGAAGACGGTTTGTTAGGGAAAGCTTTTTATTTAAAACTCCTTCAGCATTCCACTGCAGTATGTTGAGTGTCCTTGATATTTGGTCAATAGTTTTTACCCTAATGCCCTGTGCCTTGACTCCACAGCACAGGGGTAGGTGCCCACCAGTAGTGTTGGGCGGACCCCTTCGAGGCAAGGGGCCCGGCACTATCTCTTCTGCCTGGCAGGGCTCCACGAGATTAGCACCATATCGATATATTTTCATTTGTGACATCATGAAATTTAGGGCGTGTCTCTCTTCGTCTGGTTCCTCTCCTTGGACCTGTCTGAGATGGGAGACCCTACCAGTAGCTAAACTACCGTCAGCATAGCTCTTAGGGTCATTGGGACACACAAGCCCCTCTACTACTGCAAGGTGAAGACACATCAGAGGGGTGTCATGGGTTCACTTTTTGGACTGTGGTTCAGTTCAGTGTCATTTTTGTTCAGAAACCTATGGAGATTATTGCTGGGGCTAGTTCATGCTTTAGTTAACACTCTTGGCCTGAGGGTCAGTGGCTCTGCATTGAGAGACCAAGCCAGATGAGATCAAACCCAGTGCAATCAACCTTCAAGTGAGATGAGATTAAATCTGATCCAATCAAATCAATTACCAAGGCAAACTTCAAGTCGGATAAGACAAAACCCAGTGTAACTAAATGGACTTTCTCTGGCTTAATTCTTCTTTCTCTTCTTTAGCACTGGAGTCCATCGTTGCAGGCATCTCCTGTGCCACCTCCATTCATCTGTGTGACTGGTCTTCTCTTTCCAGCTAGTGAACCCAAGTGTTTTTGGCCTGCCTCGTGGTCTACTCCAATTGATATCTTTTGTATGCAGTTTGTGTCTTTGTTATCTGCCATTCTCTCTAAATGCCCCAAACATCACCTTTAATTACCTTATTTAAACAGTTACACTAGTAAGAAAAAAAAAATGCTGCCATAACCGGGCACTGAACTGGAAATAACTGGTTAGCCAGTAAACTCACTACTGAAGTAATGCAAATTTAACCTTCTCACCCCAGGAGATCCCGAACCTGGCTTTTCCATCACTGCCACATTCCCGTAAAGGTCCTGACACCAGCCTATCTGCAGTGACCATATCCTATCTGCAGTGACCATATCCTATCTGCAGTGACCATATCCTATCTGCAGTGACCATATCCTATCTGCAGTGACCATATCCTATCTGCAGTGAACATATCCTATCTGCAGTGACCATATCCTATCTGCAGTGACCATATCCTATCTGCAGTGACCATATCCTATCTGCAGTGACCATATCCTATCTGCAGTGACCATATCCTATCTGCAGTTTAATGTTACTGGTTTTGTTTATGCCCACGCAGCGTTTACTAGATAAAAGTATTTTCTCTAAAAGCAGCATTTAGAGAGGTTTTCTTGTGAGCCAAACAGCTTAATGTAGACATGTGGACATCAAAATCTTGCCGCAGCCTCAGTGTTTAAGTCATGGCATTAGTTTTTTTTTACATGTTACAAGTTTTTTTTTACACCTTGGGGAAAGTTGTCTATTTATTACTTCATGGCATTCATGTTTATCGAGTACTCTATTTAAATAACTCTAAACATGAGGGAAAGACAATAAGCAAGTCACAAATGGTTAGGAGATGGCAGGAAAATGTAGCTGGTGGTTTATAAAGGTGTCAGTAGGTGGAAGCAACATTTAACTTTATGTCTCTGTTTGTTAGATGGCGCTAGGTGTTGCATGCAGAAACACAGAAACAAAATGGTGACTGTACTTATGGAGTGTACCCTCAAAGAACAATTGTGCGGTTAGTGGGGGGGGGGGGGGGGGGGGGTTACCTGCAACAAAGGACACTACTCATAAAGAAAGGCTTCCTGTTTATGGTGACAAATGTTTATCCTGTAAAGCGGTATATAGCTTGGTTTAAAAAAATTCCTCAAGGTCGCTTCATGATGCAATTAGAAGAAAACGCCAAAGCCTGCTGACCAGAGGAGCACTGCTCCTTTACAACAATGCCAAACCAATATGGCTCGGTTAACTCAGGAGAAAACTAACCAACTAGGTGGAAAATTCTGGAACATCCACCTTACAGCCCCATCTTACCAATGGGTCATTCCCCACCCCAAATGGGACCTCGGAACTGACATGGGGGGGGGGGGGGGGGGACTGAATACTTCAGACAACATGCAACTAGCCAACTTACCAGTGTGTGTAATAGTGTGCCGCTTCAGGTGACTGCGCTTGAAAAAAGAGTAATTGCAGCCTTCTACCGAACAGAAAAACTTCTTGGGGATGAGGTGATGAAACTCCTCCTGGTGACTTTTGAGGAACTTGGGCGTCCTGAAAGTTCTGCTGCATCCCGGGATATTGCACGGATATGGTCTAGTAGCCGTGTGGATCAGCTGGTGGCCCTTAAGAGCACCTGAGGTTTTGAACTTTTTCTCACATGTTCCACAGGAGAAGGGTCTGTTCAGTGTGTGAACCTGCAGAGAATAAGAAAACACTGTCTTTACCACACTGCCCATATATACCACTTTCACTAGGCTATGTAGGCATGTCTGGGAATGAGCAGGCAGATAGGTTGGCTGGGGTGACCCAGCTTGGGGGGTGTACTGCAACTGCACAAGGCAAAGGTGATCCCTCACCCATGGAGCTACTAGGTAACAAGTAACATAGAAAATACTGAAAACCTGCACCTGGAGAGAATGATGGAGTGGGGAGTGTCTGTGGGCTTTGAGTACCACTCGAGACTTGAAGGAAAGGCAAGACGAGTAGTTAACCATATGACAACGGGTATCATCAGTACGGAGAATATCCGCTGGCTGTTTAGGAGGGAGATAAAGTTAATATGCTTTTCCTAAATGCTGTGATGTCAAATCTATACCCAGGTACCCAGAGCACTTTTAGCAGCGTAGGAAGCGGGGACAGTAAGCGTGAGGATTAAAGGCAGCATGGCTAGTGCTACAAAATGTGTAGGCTAGGCTTTGTATACTGCCCCCTTACTGAGGATGGAACCCTGGTCTCCTGCATGCAGTCCCAGTGTTCTAACAATCTGCTCCTGTTAGAATACAAAGACAACTGAAATAAGTAAAATCTTCCACTGAAATTTTAGTTTTACAAAAAACTAAAGAGAAAATGGGCAGGTAAAAATTTAATAAAGATATCTAGAAACATAAATTGTGGAGAGATGTTTCTTTTTCTGTGTTAGCACCTAAAAGGTTGGTTGACACACTAAGGTTTTAAGCTGCACTGCAATATCTGAGGCTTTCAGACCAACACACCTTACTTCAGCAAACTGCTAATTACAAGGGGGCTTCAAAATGGTGTGACTTCTGTGACAGACTGTTCACGACTAGGTCAGGCACACAGAAGTCACGCCGATTTGAAACTTCCTACTTCACTCATACACTTGCTGGACTGACAGACGTGCATCACCAGACTGGACCATCATTCATGAATGAATATAGGTTTCACCCTTTCACTCTAAAAAAAAAAATGATGACAGAATGCTGATCCTCTTTTGTGCATGTCAAATGTGGGATGGCCATCTTTAAACTGTCATTATGACATCACCTCGCCCATCTGCACTGTGATGTCATGTGCTTAACACTCTTGACATCCTTAACAATAATTTTGACAGGTTACAAGGCACCCCCCCCCCCCCTTGTTGCTTTTTACCACACGCTTGTTAGAGAAGCAGAGGATCTATCTCACCCCCCCCCCCTTTTTTTCCAAGATTCTTCTTCTTCTTTGCATTCACCGGCTGTAAACTCAGGTGGAAAAGTTCTAGTTGCTTGTCCACCTGTGGACTTTAGCCTTGTTCCAGAACCTGAGTGTTGCGTGCACATCCATTTAACAGATCTGATTTAATTGTGTGCAGATTGCTGGTTCGTTGCCTCACAAGCAGACACACTACAACTTCAAAGGAAGCCCCCAATTATGACATGCTTGTTGGGGAGACAGTGGGTCTATTCTTGTTTTCCCTACAATGGAGAACGGAACCCACACAAGATTGAAATCACAATGTATAAAAGAATCACCTTGGACATCTGGTTGGTTGCCTGGTTGAATTCTTCAGCGTTTTCACTTTTAAGATCAGTCCCACCACCCCTTAACAAGCATGTCATAAAAACAATTAATAAAGGACCTGCTTAAATTGAATGTAATGGGCCGGAAAAGGGAGATATCACAACCTAGCTGTAACAACACACCAACCACCCTTTTAATGGCAAACGCAGAAGAAAAAGAAACTCTATAAGGCCAGACTCAGGCAGCTTTTAGCTTTGAAAATGACTTGCATTTATCAGAGTGAGGCTGTTGTAGAGACCTTTCTCCTCATCTAGAAATGAAGCCCTATCTCTCCACAGAGATTGTGTTACAGGAATATGCTTTACCCTCTCCAAGCTCAGAAACTAGTTTGCTGAGCAAAACTGGGTTGTCCTATGGGTTCTGGTAACACAAAGGCAGTAGCATTTATAGGGAAAAGAAAAATCATACTCCAGGTGCTGTCTGCGGCAGAACAGATGCAGTTTTAGCTGGTTCTCATACCTGTCATAGAACTAGACCCAGCATTCAAAACATACTACAGCTGTGATATAAAACTAGACCATGCAACCCACTCATAAAACAGCTGTGATATAAAACTAGACCAAGCCACCCACACATAATACAGCTGGGGTTTAAAACTAGTCCAAGCCACCCACACATAAAACAGCTGTGGTTTAAAACTAGTCCAAGCCACCCACACATAAAACAGCTGTGGTTTAAAACTAGTCCAAGCCACCCACACATAAAACAGCTGTGGTTTAAAACTAGTCCAAGCCACCCACACATAAAACAGCTGTGGTTTAAAACTAGTCCAAGCCACCCACACATAAAACAGATGTGATATAAAACTAGACCATGCAACCCACTCATAAAACAGCTGTGATATAATACTAGACCAAACAACCCACACATAAAACAGCTGTGATATAATACTAGACCAAACAACCCACACATAAAACAGCTGTGATATAATACTAGACCAAACAACCCACACATAAAACAGCTGTGATATAATACTAGACCAAACAACCCACACATAAAACAGCTGTGATATAATACTAGACCAAACAACCCACACATAAAACAGCTGTGATATAATACTAGACCAAACAACCCACACATAAAACAGCTGTGATATAATACTAGACCAAACAACCCACACATAATACAGCTGTGATATAAAATAGACCAAGCAACTCACACACATAATCAGCTGCAATACAGATCTAGATCAAGAATTGTGCACAAAATCCATATGAAGAATTCTGAGTGGTAAGCATCTCTTCTTTATTAATTACTCCCTTGATAAATCTTTACATATTTAGAAGAAGAAAAAAAATACAAAATATGGATCAATAAATCTTTAACTTATTTATCAGTGACATGTGCACCCTTGTTTTTTAAGGATATTTTCTGGAATTCCAGTGAGATCATAGCCCTTTTTTTAAAATGTTCCCAGGAAGAATATATATATATATATATATACACACACACATATACTCATTAAAAAAACTCTTGACACTAACCTTTCTGTGCCTCTTCATGTTGTCTTCAGTAGAGAAGAGCTTGCCACAATCAGGACACTGTACATCATGGTCCCTGGACGCGTGCATGTTCTTGTTGTGCTTGTGCAGATTGGCCTTGTAGTTGGTTCTGTAATCACACAGCTCACACTTGAACCGCTTTGGCTGGTCAGGGAAATGGGTGTGATAGTGAACCTGGCCGACAATACCACAAGCATATTAACTTTATATTAATGAATTATACCATGTCAGTTATGTAAAAATAAAGATCTCTAGGCTGATATTGTCATAGTAAAGTAAGGATACTGACTTAGTAAAGCAAGGATATTGCCATAGTAAAGCAAGGATATTGCCATAGTAAAGCAAGGATATTGCCATAGTAAAGCAAGGATATTGCCATAGTAAAGCAAGGATATTGCCATAGTAAAGCAAGGATATTGCCATAGTAAAGCAAGGATATTGCCATAGTAAAGCAAGGATATTGCCATAGTAAAGCAAGGATATTGCCATAGTAAAGCAAGGATATTAATTACTATAGTAAAGAAAAGCTATAACTATTGTAAAGTAAAGATATTGCCACAGTAAAGTAAAGATACTGCCACAGTAAAATAAGAATATTGCCACAGTAAAGTAAAGACATTGCTACAGTAAAGTGAAGCTATTTCTCAAGTAAAGTAAGAAAAGTAAAGTGGGGATCTTGAAGTAAAAAATGGATCTTGTAGTAAAATAAGGATCTTGCCATAGTAAAGTGAGGATCTTGTAGTTAAGTAAGGATCTTACCGTAGTAAAGTAAGGATATTGTCTTAGTAAATGTAAAGTTTGTATGTGTCCATATCTCCTTTACAGCATCAGTTTAACCTGTGGTTTCAGTAGACTGAATTACAGTTTCATGAAATTATGGCAGTCCAAAAAAAAATTATAAACAACAAGAACAGTTTTTGAAAGCTCTGCACTATGTTTCTAGGTCATTCCAAAGATAATAAAATGTTCTTGCAGTCTTCTACCCCCCACAGCTGTTATATTAACTTTTGTATCACTTCTTTCCTGATTGTGCCTCTGTCAAACTCCTTCAAACCTAAGTATCTATTGCTTGTAAGCCCTCCTTGCAACAGAAGAGGTTTAAGTTTCCTCTTCTTCTTCTTAGCAGTAAACCCCAGCGGAAATTTCTGGTTATTTCTCTACTTCTGGTCTTTGCTCTCATACAAGAACTTGAGTTTTGCATGCACATCCGTTTTACAGACAGTATGCAGACAGCTGGCTTCACCCCTCTCCGGCTTGAAAGGAAACGCACTTAATAAGTCATCCTTCACGACATGCTTGTTAAGGCCACATGCAGCAGTGGAAAACAGTTCATTTGGGTCAGGTCAAATTTGGCGGGGAAGTTCATTTTTACACACCTTAGTATGTCTTCTGTCAGATTCAGTGTTTGTATTTGTCTAAAACGTGTTATTCTAATGCAATATTAATATTTTACTGAGCTAACATTAGCAGTGAAATTTATTTGTTTGTTGAAAATTGTTACAAAATTGGCAATTGTTCGGACTTAGCAACGCCATTTGCACACTGAGATAACTGTATGTATTATATAAAGTTGTAATCATTATTAGGTCTCCTGCATTGTTCAGCAGGTTTCAGGATTGTGGAATGTCATGTCACACACTCATGACTGTTTTAGACACTTATAAAATCCCAAAAACTTTTATATATGGGTGTAAAGAAGACCTTATTAATTAGCATAAGCTACGCACGATTCCCGCTGGCCGAAACTGAACACGTGGGTACCTGATTCTCAAAGACGGTTAATGGGAGCAATGGGTCTATTCTATTCCCCCAAAACCCATACAGGCAGAGGTTGAATGCACAACTGCTTGATACAGCGAGAGTTGATATGACCACAGAACAAAAATTCTCATGGCAGATACTGCCTTAGTTAAGTCAAGGACCCATCTCAAATCATTAGTACATCAGGTATTTAGTGGAAGAGCCATTTTTTAAAAAGACCAATCAGCCACTTGATGGATAATGCATTTAACATCACACCAAAGTTATGTTTATCATAAACAACGTCCCTGCACACTGGGTGAAAGTTAAAGAGATCAGAAAATAAAAACTCTAGTGAACTCACTAACAGCTAACAAATGCTGGGGTTGTTTCTGCAATATCATGTAACAACACGCAATTCTTCTTCTTCCCATTCACCAGCTGTAAACTCTGGCAGAAAGTTCTGGCTGTTCGTCCACTTCTGGACTGTAGTCCTGTTCCAGAACCTGAGTGCTGCATGCGCATCCCTTTAACTGAACTGACTTATTTGTATGCAGACTGTTGGTTCCTTACCTCTCAGGCAGATGCACTCTGACTTTAGATGACTGTTACTATATGCTTTTGGGAAGGCAGTGAGTCTATTCTTATTTTCTCTATAACAGGGCCCCAGAAACCCACACAGTGGAGGACACGCAACTTACCTTTATTTTATGTTATCACAACTGACTTCATTGAACATTGAATATATCCATGTGTGTTTAGTCCTCTGATACAGCAGCCACTCCAGTGTACTTATACTGAATATTTTCCTGAGGAACTGGTAATAATGACTCCTACCTCTGCCTTAAAGGTGGCATCGTCATGCTTCACCATGCTTTACTCCCAGTTCATGCAATCATGTTAGTGTCAGACTCACCTAGACTGTAAGATAAGGCGTCACTGTGATGTGAAAGGGCTTTACTTTGTGGGCAAAACAAGAATAAACCCACTGCCTCCCCAACAAGCATTTCGTAGGGAGTTCCTTTAAATCAAAGCAGTGTTTCCCCGATGTGAATTTGAACAAAGAAGACACAAACAGTAGACTGCACAATTTATTATTATTCTAAATTCCGGGCACATCATTAACAGGGATGATGCATTTTTAATTATTTACAATTCGGCCAACCGTAGATTACTCCGATACGCGGAAGCTCCCGTGATCAGCCGGTTGAAACCAAATCACTGTAGGCTGAAAGAAATGGTCATTTCCTTACGGTTACCTTGGTGAAACAGACAGTTTAGAATGTACTCAAATTTGTATTTCAGTTTCTAGGATTCAGCTATTTGCTTCATTTTAATCAATTGTTACTGTAGTATGCACCTGACGAGATACGGCGAAATACGCCAGGCAATAAATTGTGCAGTCTATAGTTTGTGTCTTCTTTGTTCAAGTTCCTTCCAAGTCTGAGTACATCTGCCTAAGCGGCAAGGAACAACCAGCTGCACACAAATAAGTCAGTAAAACGGATGTACACGCAAAACTGGGGCCCTGGCATAAAGACAAAGTCCAAATGGATGAACAACCAGGACTTTCCGCCAGAGCTTACAGCCGGCAAATAAACAAGAAGAAGAAAAACAGCTTTCCATTTGGAGTGGCATTTGCCTGAGAGACAAGGAACCAATAGTCTGCACCTATGTTTTTAAACAGACTGATGAACTGCCTGGACTGAATTATAACACAAGAACAATAAACAATCTGAGATACGCAGATGACACAGTGCCACTAGCAGAAAGTGAGCAGGAGTTACAGAGAACTAGTTGGTCAAGTCAATAGGCGGGCTGCAAAATATGGTTTAGACAATAATTTTTGAAAAACAAAAAACTATGGTCATTAACAATGGAAAAGTGGCCAACAGTGAAATCACAGTAAACGGAGAGTTTTTACAAGCAACGAGATTTTCCTATCTAGGACACATAGTAACAGATGATGGAAGAAGCGAAACAGAAATCAAAAGGAGAACAGGAATGGCTAAAACTGTTTTCAATAAGATGCGCAAGTTTCTGACAGCTAGAGAGATAAACAACACACTAAAAATGAGAATCGTCAAATGTTATGTATACTCAGTCCAGCTATATGGTGCAGAAATGTGGACAATGAACAAGCAACTAGAAAATCGAATTGAGTCTCTGGAAATGTAGGTATAGAGAAAAATAGGTTGTATTTCATGCAAACAAAACAGCCCAATACAGAGGTTCTGGGATGGTTACAAATTAAAAGAGAATTACTGAAAGAAATAACAGAGAGGCAATTGAAATACTTTGGCCTTATTAAAAGATATAACAGACTTTTGAAAACCATACTGGAGGGAAAGGTCGAAGCAAGAGAGCAAGAGGTAGGCAATGATACAAGTGGGAGGACAACATCGAGAGATGGACGGGCAGCAGTCTCAGAGATTGTACAACCATTCGCCAGGGACACAGATGAGTATAATTTATTTTGTACATTAGAGTCCTATGTAGTCACTTCATAGTTAGAGCATATTTGTGTATGAGTACTGTGTTCTTCTTTATGTGCCGATGAAGGCTAATCGCCGCAATGTCCTTTGTTTGTTTATTGTGATCGATTTTGTAAAGCTAACATAAACTATTTGTTCTTTCTCACCCACGTTTTCTCTTCCCAATAATTTTCTACCCCTTTAAAAACTACAACCAGGACAAAGGACAGAACATGTTAGAGATCCATTGCAGCCAACCTTCATTGTGGAGACGGCACCTGACTGACTGACATATAAGTAAGCAGATTTGTAAAAATAGATTCGCAAGTAAAACTCAAGTTCTGGAGCAAGACTAAAGTCCAGAAGTGGATGAACAACCATAACTTTCCACTAGAGTTTACAGCCAGTGAACGTGAAGAAAAAATCAGCTTACATGATCAATGAAAGGGCTGGAGATTAGTCACGCATCAGGAGTCAAAACAGATGAATCAGAACAAGGACCAAATCAATAGGATACAGCATGTGTGGTGGTTCTGCTTTTATTACTAACCAGGGGTTTAAACAGATGCACAGAATGTGGCTTAGATAACACCACTGTTACATGATGTGTATCATGCTCAAAGGGTCCAAGCAGCAATCAAGATTTGTGTTGGGTTCTAATGACATTAGACCGTGAGGCAGGGACCGGCCAGCAGGCACTGCAGTATCCGAAGTTCAACATCCCTGTGTGGGTTCCGGGGGGGCCCCATTATGAGGGGGGAAAAAACCAGAATAGACCCACTGGCTCCCCAACAAGCATTTGGTAGGAGTCAACTAATTGGGGGCTTCCTTCTAAGTCGGAGTGCATCTGCCCCAGAGGCAAAGAACCAACAGTCTGCATACAAATAAGTCAGATCGGTAAAACTTATGTGCACTCAGCACTCAGGTTCTGGAACAGGACTAAAATCCAGAAGCGGATAAATTACCAGAGCTTTCTGCTGGGGTTTACAGCTGGTGAACGTACAGAAAAAGAAGAAGTTAAACAAATAAGAGAGACATGTTGCATAAAATACTTTTCACCTTTTGTAATGCCAATGGCATGGACCATAAGAAGTATACACACAAAAATATAAACAAGACCAAACAAATGTGCCACTAACCCTCAGTGATGATGCATATTTGAACTCCTTCTCACACTCTGTGCACTGATAGGGCTTAGGCCCCTGACACTCCTGCGTGTGTTCCTCAATAGTCGTCTTGTCACACTTGATGTAACGGTTACACACCTTGCACATCCGGACATCCAGCTTATCCTTATGCTGCTCTGCAGTGTGCTCTGTCAGCTTCACCCGTTCGGTTGCCACAAAGCTGCACCTGGAGCATGGAAACACGCCGTGCGTGAACAGATGCCGGTTGAGGGATGCCATTTTCGTGCTACCGTAGTTACAACGTTCACACCTGAAGGGCATCATGACGTCCAGCATGTGGACTTTCTTCATGTGGCGGCTCAACGCTGACCGCCCCCGTGCCTGATGGCTACACTGGTCACATTTTACAAAGTCCAGCCGTCTCTTGTAGCGCCTGACTGAATCATCTCCTCCACTCTCCAGCCCAGTGTCGTGGTTCTCCTTGTCTGTCATTTGCAGGTCTGAAGAGGAAATTTCATCTTTGGACTCTGGTTCATGGACTGGAGTATTCTGCTCTGAGCTCCCCGATGTGGAGGCAATACTTTCCCCAATGTCAGATGTTTCTGCCCGATTCTGGCACACCCCTGCTTTATCAACAGCTGAATCTGCATGGAAAACAACTATCTGTTCTGTGACATTTTTCTTTGGAGTAGGGTGCTTACGATTGATGACCTTCTTTGAGGGAGTATTTACAGTGTCTTCAGCGACCGTGTCTACGGTACGCATAGGCTCATCTGTAACACAACCTGCAGTCAGAACATCTGTTCTCTTTTTCTTTGAAGACTTGACTTTCTCATGAACTGTTGCCTTTTTAACTATTACATCTTCCCCTGTTTCACTACACATGTCAGATAATTTGTGAGCATTTTGAGTTTTCCCAGTGTTTTCACTCTTCCTCTTCTTAACTTTCTTTGGCTTGCTGATCTCTCCAGCATCTTCAGTTTGACAATGTTCACTAGATATACCCACTACCCCATTATTCAGCTGTGCATCTTCATTAACAGAGCAATTCAATTCATTTCCACCACCTGTATTTTTCCCAGCAGTGGTGCTACTTGAACTATCCTCTTCCATTTTTTTCTGTTTGCTGTCCTCCTGGCTTACATCTCCAGAAGGTTTCTTCTTCGGCTTCTTTTGCTTCTTTGAACCATTAATACAGCTAACCTGCTCGGGAAGAAGTGAACTCGAGCAGTCTGCTGCTACAAATGCTAAGACACTGTCTATATGGTCAACAGTCTGTTGAAACTCTGGATGTGACTCAGCAGTCCTTTCAGGCATCAGTAGAGTGGGTCTTTCCTTTGGGGGCCTAATGGCATCCACGCTATGACTGGCCACTAATGGCTCATCAGATCCAGGAGGCAAACAAAGCTGGCTTGCTGAGGTTTTGCTACACACTACCTTAGCGCACTGATTATAATTCATATTATTATCTGTACCACACTTATTGCTAATGTTACGAACACTCTCAAACTGATTTCTAATCGCCGTTTCTTCTTCTTGAGTTAAGGAAAACTCTTCCAAAGGTTCAGGTATATATACAAAATTTGCAATAACATCATCTATTGTCAAAGAGTATCTATGTAACCTATCAGAGCAAGAAACTTCATCCATTGGTATCTCCTTCTTTCTGGGTGCTTTCTTGTTTTTCTTTACAGTTCCACTTTCATTAGCCGTGAAAACTTCTTTGCAACTCTCACTGATTTGTTCAATACCGGAGGCCTGTTCATCTTGAGAAGATGCTAACGCTATGTCTGCTGACGAATCTGAAGCTTGTATAAGTAGTGGAGACATTTGTGTATTTTGTCCATGAGGAAAAGGGATATTTATTTCTGGACACTGTCTTGAAGACAATGGATCCTGTACAATGACAGGCACTGCAATAGTTGTCTCTACATATGGCACTTCAACAGAAATGGCTGATTCCTCTTTTTGTGTTACTTCTGAACCACCAGAAATGGCTGATACCTCTTTATGTGTTACTTCTGAACCAACAGAAGGATCTAATGATGTGGAGCCGTTGGCAGACTCAATATCTTTAGTTCGTGCACAGTCATACATATTATGAACAGAATGTGTATTATGCAAGCCTGAACTAACAGCAGTGGGGTCTGGCTGAACTTGAGCAGTTTCCACAAGCTCTTTCTCTGGATGTTTAGTCTCTGTTGCAGTACCCTCACAGATGAACTTGGATGTTTCAGAATCGACACTTGCAAGAGGATTCCCTGATTCTGTCAAAGTATGGTTGAGGGAGTGATGTGAAAGGGTTGCCGAAATACCCTCCACTGTTTGGCTGTCGCTAGAGGAAGAAGCCTGTGAGGAAATCAGGCCCACAGCTGGTTTGCCTGATCTGGATAGGTTCATTGGTTCAAGCTGTTCTGGAACCTGCTGAAAACTGTCCTCTTTTGTCTTCTTAAATGACACCAGGTGAGAGGGAGACGACGCAGAAGAATTTTCTGGACCTGGGTGGTTCACGTAAGTGTGGCTGTATGAAGACTGATGTGTGGCACTGTAAGGATGATGGGAATATACCTGAGACGTATATGCAGTCCTCCCTTTGTAACTGTCCAAATTATTGGATGCTGATGAAGGCAAACTTATAGACGGTGTGTCTTCCAATGATGATAAATTATTTGATGATGAGACATATGATCTTGAATCATAAGAACTTGAGACTGACTTCTGGTTGTTATTGATGTTTACTGGAAGGTCTAACCGATGCTGCAACAAATGCTCAACTCTGTGCTTAAGTAGCTCATCATTTAAAGGCAAGGGCAAAAGTCGGGCTTCTGGACCTATCTGTGCAGAAGCAGAGTCCGTTAAATGTCCAGTAAAAGGTGCAACACAATTCACAATTTCTCCACTACTACACATATAAGGTGCAGCTACGATTTCTTCAAACTTTTTGTCTATGCCTCTTCGCTTCTTTGGAGGCTTGAGAAAAGTCCTGCTGTTGACTGTTGCGTTTGGATAATCTATGTGACTGCTGTCTGTGCTTGATCTTTTTGGAGGTGTTATGACAGAGCTCTCAATATCTGGTACGCTACTGGCTGAATTCAGACTAGTCCATTTTTTGTATATTTTCGTCTGGGTAGCTGTCCCAAATGTTGGCATGACATCTGCTGATGACACAGCCAATGACGGAGAAGTTGATGACACAGCCAATGACGGAGAAGTTGATGACACAACCAATGACGGAGAAGTTGATGACACAGCCAATGACGGAGAAGCTGATGACACAGCCAATGACGGAGAAGTTGACAACTCAGCCAATGACGGAGAAGTTGATGGAGATTGCACAGATGTGGACCTTGAAGCCGCTGTCACCATCTCTTTCTCAACCAACAGAACCGAGGTTTTGCCCATGCTGTCCAGAAACCTGGCACAGTCATCTGCATTCAACACCACCTTAGGAGACGGAAGGCTGAAGACTTTCTGTGGTACCGGTTTCTTACAGGTTCTCTCGACTTTGGTTCTCATGCTGGATTTCTTTGTCATTTCAACACAAGATGTTGAAAACCATCAGGACAGGTTGCCAACCCCAGGACATCATTCAGTAGTGCTGCAAATGAAACAGCAGAAATTATAGTAACTTTAAATATATCAATCCTCCATGACACCTGGTTAAAGCCTGTTAACAAAGAAATACTTTTTTCTTTTTCTTCTTCCGCATCACCCTTAACTTTTTTTTTAGTACCAAAGAATGCATCAGATGCTCATTTATTACCAGTTTACCCCCGTGTGGGTTCCGGGGCCCCATTGTAGGGGAAAACAAGAATAGACCCACTGCCTTCCCAAAAGCATGTCGTAAGAGTCGACTAATTGGGGAGCTTCCTTTGAAGTCAGAGTGCATCTGCCAGAGAGGCAAGGAACCAACAGTCTGTATTCAAGAGAATGAGATCTGTAAAACTGATGCACACGCAACACTCAGGTTCTGGAGCAGGACTGCAGTTCAGTAGTGGACGAACAACCAGAACTTTCCGCCAGAGTGTACAGCTGGTGAACGTGAAGAAGAAAAAGAAATTACCAGTTGAACTATCCGTTGATATCGAACAGTTAGAACAGTGGTGGGCAAACTGTTTTCTAGTTTACTAAGGCTGCAATCTCTGCACTTTTCTGCCCAACATATTCAAATTCAGCAAATTCAATGGAACTCTAAACTGTATAGTTTTAAGACCCAGTTACATATTTTCCATTCAAATGATATTTCAGTTTTAACAGATGCAAGTGAAAACTGGAGAACCACTAAAAGTTAGATGCCTTCAAAAACAGTCAGCAAAATGAAAGTAAAATAAAATGAATCCGGTTAATAGGCGTTAATCACTGTGTGCTGCCATCGGAAACGCAGTCGTGCCTGCTCCAACCACAATGAAGACAAAGCTGTATGGTACACGAGAGGATATAGACTGCACGATAGCTTTCATTAAGGCTACTGGCCTCCTGATATAAGTTTTCTGACAGAAGGATCGAAGAAGAAATCCCCTATGCACAGGTTGTTTTTGACAATTGAAACAAATTACCGGGCTGATCAAATCTACCCAAAAGAAGCTCCAAAAATAGTGATTCACTTTCTGTCATCTGAAGGATGCTGACCAGTTCACTGTATAATTACCTAGCACACTAGCAACTATGAACCTCTTTTAACTACAGTGAAAGGATAGAAAATGCAATGGTATGGACATGTAATTAGAATTAACAGCCTCTCCAAAAAAAAAAAAAGGGCTCAGTAGAGGGAATGGGAAGAGGAGAAGAGGCAGACCAAGAAAGCTGGACACAGAACCTGACTGACTGGGTAGGCTTAGGCATAAAACCATGAAGTCCACCGCATCAACCGTCAAAGGTTAAGGGAGCTGATCTGACAGGCAACAGCAATTGGTGACCCAACGCCAGACAGTTCTATGGGATGAGGATGACCATATGAATATTTTGGAAAAGATGTGAGTTCATGACAGAGCTTCCACAGCCGGGTCAAGTGTACACTGTTGTAACAGAAAGACCCATCGTGCAAGCAGCAATACAGGTGAACCGTTGTCCAAGTATATGTGCGCTAGCAAAACAATTTGATGTGTTAATTTGGACAGTTCAAAACACTGCTCATGGGGAACTGCAATATCAGAAGGTGTGTGTTTACAGCGGGTACCAGTGATGTTGATGCGCTAAGCACATGGTTCAGTGAGCAGCCACAATCCTTTTATTTTTTTGCAGACATCATTCATAGCCTACCTACACATGGGATGCTTGCTTGAATGCCTACAGCAACTTTTTTTAACTTCCCATGGTGCTTAATTCATTTAAAATGAATGCTTTGTTTAATTATGCCACATCTATTATGTTTCTTTAATTCTTCTGTATAAAGCCCTTGGAACAGGTTTCAAATAAAGGTACCTTACTGCTTATTTAGAACTAATCTCAGGCGCCGCATCTCTGGAGGCCAGCAACCTTCAGATCTTCTGCCAGCTTAGTTGTGGTCAATATAAGCTGTTATCTATAGCAGATGACGAGGACGTGTGGCCGGAGTCTTGCACAATGATCCGTAAAATCATCACAGAGCCTTCTGGTGCCCATAGTGAGGTACATAGTATTTCCTTTTAAACATCACAATGCCTAGGCTTCGGGCACATAATACTAAACTCAGTTTTATAGACCAGTCAGCAGCACCCAGTGGGTGATATGACGTTAGCTGGTACCCATTTTGTGGTGGTCAATTTGGTAGCCAGGGTCAATTCTGAAAGGAACCAAGAACACATTGTAAACAAATGTACTAGCCACTACCCCGGTCTTCCCAGGATTTACCTGAATGTTTTATCAAAACTATCAGCCCATCTCCACAGTAACAGTGTAAACAATTCTAAAGCCAAGATTGGTAACTGGTGGTTTTTCTGCACCTGCCATATCTGAAACCAAATAAAAATGGATGTGTTTAATACCAAGCCTGCAGAAAGCCACCATGTTACTGAGTCCTTCTTTATCTTCTTCGCGTTCACCAGCTGTGAATTTTGGTGGAAAGTACTGTTGTTCGCTCACTTGTGGAATTAAGTCTTGTATCAGAACTTGAGTATCAGAGCTTTAGAGACCTGGGTTACTTGTATGCAGACTGTTTAGAGAGGCAGTGTGTCTATTTCCTTTTCACCAAAATGGTGTCCCAGAATCCAAAGAGGGAATACTGTGTTTGATCTCACTTAAAGATAAAGAAAGGAACCCTCTTCATACAATAGCTACTTAGGACATATACTGCTACACCTGAAAGAAGTAACTTCTTCCTGGCCAAGATGGCGACATAAACAACATTCGCCGAAAATTGTGACTAAAAGATGTATTCCTGGAAATAATGTTAAATGTGTTAGATTAGTGTAGTTCTTCAGATGAAGATGAATTCGCGACAGGCCTGGCAAGTCGGCGGAGGATTCAGCGGTTCAAAAATAAATGCTTAAGATGAAAATAGGAGATGTGTTAAAAATAGGGGAAAAAAAGAGGCCAACAGAAGGTTAAGACCAGGGTAAGGACAATCAACATGGAGTGATGGCATTAAGAACAGCCTTACAGAAATGAACATCAGTCTTAATAGTGCTCTTGACAGAGCTCATCAACGAACATTACATCTCCCCCCGACACTT